AATACCCCTAACAGGAACCTACCACCCTACCACAATAGCAGGTTAAAAATCACATTTCAACATAAGAGAAATGCATTTTGGACCATAGCATTTATCTTGCTGAGAAGGCTTACCCAGCCTCCTCAGGATAAAAATAATTTAGAACATCCTTTAACTAAAGAATAAGCTTATTTTCCTAAACTGGTGCAAAAATAGAGGACCTCATCATCACATCGTTTGAGTTTGAATTTATGGACTGAATCTACCCAAAAGCACATTCTCCCAGAGCAGGTAATTATGATTTGCATTTTAAACGGATAATTTAAAAAATATTTCCACATATGAAATTATTTCTATACGTGGATATTTTTATTACGTTTCTTTGTTTCAGTAAAATGAAATTGTATTACTTTCAGATGCACTAAGAACAATAAATAAAAAATACATTTGTTTAATGCTGCACAGTTGAAACGAGCGCTGAGAATTCAGATAGTTTGTCTTTTACTGAATTATCTTTGTTGATTGTATTACGACAACTTGAACAATCGCATACAGGAATTACTACAAATAGCCTATTTTAATATTCACAAAACAAATAGGTAAGGTGAAGGTTTACATTTACTTCTATCAGAATGTCACGTTGAAAGAATGCAGAACCCAGGGATTTGAAGTGCGCTGTCACTTTGGATTTTTAATACCATATTTACTTATCCCTATATTTAACAAATATGTATTTGCGAGGTGCGAAAATTACAATTAAATGCAGAATTCTACACTTCTTTATCCTATAATTGAGTGTCTCCATCTTAGCTCCCTATCAATGATCGTTATAATCTCTGTCCTTTGCACCAGGCAGTCAGCATGGAGAGAAAATAGAGAATAGGAGAAATAGAACATTGTTTTAATTTCTCCTCTTCACTTAAAATGTTTGCCCTGTCTTTGCTTGTCTGAACTGGATTATGAAGCCATTTGCTAAATGTTTAATATAAAACAAAGCATCTCATAAAAAAAAAAGGTTAACGCAAATTATAGGTGATTTTCAATGTTTTATTCAGTAGCGTAAATCCCTGAGAAGTGACATTTCCCTTCTAGTGTAATGAAAGAGCTGCAAGTCACGCTGTTTTCTTGGGAGAGCCACTTACTATATCGTTCTCTTGGCTATTTTATGCTTAGTACTATTTAAACCACTTGTGTTAGTATGATACAATTATTATGATCCATTTTGATGGTGGAAGCATTGTTAGAAAATATATATAATAAAAGAATCGCCAATAGCAGCCGAACGCAGGTATCTCCCAAGCGGCTAATAATCCCATACAGCAGTCTCTAGTCGTCGGTAATAAATCCCCCCATAACGAGACCAAGCTCCGCATTGAGGATAAAATAAGAACTGGCTTTACTGTGGGCTACCTGCCTGTATTTATGCAGGTCTCTCACTTGGTGGACACCCCCCTAGGAAACCAAATGGGAGACTGTGACAACAGATAGACATATGGCAGTTCAGGACCCACAGACACGAAATATTCCCAGCATGCAATAGTAATTCCTCCCCTCTGCCCTGGAGATAATTGAGAAGTATTCAATTATCTCCAGGACAGAGGCAAATCGCCATTTTACATTCAACACATAAAAACACATAAAAATATATAACTTTACATTTGTCGAATGCTACCCATTCGTATCACATATCCCCAGATAGCCTGGATCTGAGTGCATATTATTGGCGAATAGCGCTCAGATCCCATACGCATAGTTCAATCGCCATGGAGTCAAATTCTATTACAGTTCTTCGTTATGCGATTGACTCCATGGGAAGGCTATCTGGGGTAAGTCCATTCGTGCCTTTAAACCTCCCGAACGGCCGGTGTTTGCACACTTCTGTCGATTGAGAAGGGATGTCGACGGCTTCAGCGGTGTTCGGTTGAAAAAGTGTCCGTTTTCAGTTCCATTAAATAACCGTCGAACACCGCTGGTCTTTTGCATGGTTAAAATGGCCGCCGCCTCGTGGTCGACATACGAACGACAACCATCCTGTATTCAGTTTTAAATGAGAAGTGTCTGTGGTTAACCGCAACATTCTAATTGGGATCAATAGGTTAACCAGCAGCACACTTCTCTTCTGGGTGGCCGTCCGTTCGGCAGTTCCGTTCAGCAGAAAAGTACATTCACTTAAACAAAGACATACGAACGGGTAAATTAATGCAAATGGCAAAACAGATGAATCCAGCAATCTTAGTCTATACAGATGGATCTGTCACAGATGTATTTTATTTGACCACATGGATAAAAATAGCACACCAACAATTTAAGGATAATATCTATCTTAGGAAATAGAAGGAAGCGATTTTGCTCTCAAAACTCAACAAGAGTAGCACAATTGTATTATAGCCAGTGCTGACTGGGCCATATGGGCACTTAGGGCAACCTCTGCCAGATAATTGTTGTTATAATAAAACAAAATATTTCCAGTGTTGGAAAAGTGAACTTCTGACATTGTTGGTTCATTTGCACATTTCCATTATAAATTATAAACATACACCATACAGCACTGCAAAACTACAATGTCCCTCCCCTTATTCCACTATGACACACGATGACTGACTGATAATGACGGCTGTGTCTGGAAAAGCTGATAAGAGGAACTAGGCATGTGCAGAATTTAGGTCATCCATTAAAAGTGCCTAGAAGCCCTTTAGAGGTGATTTTTGGAATGCCCCATTTAATGTCCAAATGTTTGTAATATGTTGGCCATATCTATGACACTCAAGGGGTTAACCCAATACTTGTTTTTTTACAAAACGTTGACATCTATGTTGATACTTTATATGAGCCTGATAAATTGGGAGGTGGGATTTCTAGATTCACCATCTTAAAATTTCACAAGACGTCACTGGTTATAACCTTGTTTTATACTTTAATAGACACTATTAGCACCAAAACCACTATATCTTAATTGGTTTTGTTGCAGAGATGCTGTTCATTTTCTTGGACAGGGTAAAACAGTGCTGAAACTGAGAAAACTTATTTCTTGTAATTGGCTAAATACATTTTTGCTTCTTCCTTTTATCTGTTGATGTTCATGGACTTCATGTTCAGCGTTATCACGAACAGCATGTTGAGAATCACTGGACTTGCATATCATGGCTTTTAAACCATAGAACTGTAATGTTTCTCTATGAAAAACTTTGAAAGAGAGATCATCGAGATAGATGGTCTAACTAATTGTATCGGACTACACAGAATAGACTGTCTGAATCCCAGGTAAAGTTTTTAAACAAGAACAGAATGTGAAAGTGTGTTAAAAAATTATAAGCTTAGAGTCATGTCTACAAATGCTCGCAGTTTAGGGAATAAGATCCATGAACGTGTGGCAATAATGGCAATTTATAATGTAGATTGAGTCGCTATTACTGAGACATGGTATAATAAGAAAAATGACTGGGATATAGCAAAACCAGGGTACTCTTTATATAGAAAAGACAGAGAAGGTAAGTAAGGGGAGGGGTGGTCCTGATAGCATAAAATCCAGCCTAATAAATGTGAGTGAGGCAAACATAGAGTCAGTTCAGATTACGTTAGAATTTTGTAATCACGTAGTAACTCGTTTAGGTGTGTTTTATAGGCCCCCAGGGCAAATAGAAGAGTTAGATAATCTACTAGTTGGGCAAATAGCTAAAATAACAATGCAGGGGAAAGTTATCATCATGGGTGACTTTAATCTTCCAGATGTTAACTGGAAAACCAAAATAGCTGTTTGTGCAAGGAGCACACATATTCTAAACTCTCTACTGGAATTGTCTCTAAAACAAGTAGCTGAGGAACCAACTTGTAGGGAGGCCATGCTAGATTTAGTGTTAACAAATGGAGATTTGGTATCAGATATTACTGTAGGTGAAAGTTTAGGATCCAATGATCACCAGTCAGTGTGGTTTAATATAAGAAGTCACACCACACAAAAACAAACAAATTTAGACTTTAGAAAAACAGACTTTTCTAAAAATTAGAATATGTGTAAAGGAGTCATTATCAGACTGGAGCAGTTTAAATGGAGGCCATGAGAAATGGGATTATTTAAAATTATTATTGCACTGCTGAAGGTAACAGAAAATTGCATTAGGCTTGTCAGTAAAAGCAAAAAAAAATAAGAAACCATTGTGTTACTCTGTAGATGTGGCCAAAATAGTAAAAATCTATAAGTTAGCATTTAGTAATCAAAAAACAAACAAAAACAGAGTGAGCAAGATAGACAAAATCTATAAGATTAGGCAGAAAGAGGAGATTAGGCAGAAAGAGGCTAAGCAAGTTATACGAGCTTCCAAATCACACACACAGAAAATAGCCCAGTCAGTAAAAAAGTGAGAAAAATTTTTTTTTAGATACATAAATGAGAAAAGGAAAGTAAAACAAGGATTTGTTAGACTAAAAACAAAATAAGGTAGGTATGTAGAAGAGGATAAAGGTCTAGCTAACTGCCAAAATGAATATTTTTGTTCAGTATTTACAGATGAAAATGAAAAAAAGGGACCTTAGTTAGGAAAAAGAACAAATTAGTAATTTGTTACATGTGAGTTTAAAGAGGAAAAGGTTGTATTTCAAGAGTTAAAAGTAAAGACAAATAAGTCAATGGGGCCTGGAATACACCCAAAGTTATTAAAAGAGCTTAGTGGTGTACTAGCAAAATCATTAACGGATTTATTTTACCAAAATTAGTGTTCATTTTAGTATTTTACAATATCTCTATCTTCCCTTTAGAATTGCTTTAATAACAGTTACAAATAATAATCTTGGTTGATAAAGACTCAAGTCCATAAACCTCTGCTTTTCACACATCCAGTTCCGCTATAGATGGAAAAGAAGGTGAAAACTGAATTTAAAGTAATTTAAAGTTGTACAATAAAAAAGGGATCAAAAAATCATGGAAGGGGGCGTGGCCTTGACGCCGAGGAGAATAGCAGCCTAAGCTAAGAGCTGCGTCTCCCAAAGCAATTATAAGCACGCTAAACAAGCAGAAATGGCTGGAAATGGGCCGTACAAAATTCCCTGACGGCTCACAGACACCACGGAGCAACCCTACCAACTCCCAGGCAGGTCCCATGGATGATTACCTGCAGACTCTGGAAACCACATCCCGCAAGCGAGCAGGCTTAGAAATGGTCGCGTCACCGAACCACGTGCGACCCCCAGAGGCAGGCAGCCCCACACTATCTGACATCAGCGCGCTGGCTGCACAAATGGTCACGAAAACAGACCTCCAGACCCTATCTGACGACCTACACACGGCGATCCGCCTGGAGGTGACGGCCCTGAGGTCTGAAATAACTGCACCCAGCGGCAGATTCCATATACGGGAGGAGACTATGCAGGAGACCACGGGGAGAGTGGGAACCACTACTACAGCGGTCACCAGACAGGGGAACTTGCTGCTAGCCCTGCGAAGGCAGGCAGAGGATCTAGACAACAGGGGCCGCCGCTCCAACATCCGCGTGCGCGGCCTACCTGAACCACAAACAGAGGAAGATATTGAGACCACGCTGAAGGCCCTCTTCCGAGACATATTGGGAGAAGATAACGTGATGTTTGATCGAGCTCACCGGGCAAACAGACCTAGGATACCAGATGGCACACCACGAGACGCCATCTGTTGCCTACACCACTATAAGCACAATGAGCAGATAATGCTGAAAGCTCGCACGAGACTGCTATGGAGATTCCGTGGGGCTGATGTGACCTTGTTCCAAGATCTGTCACCCTTCTCACTCGAAGCCCGCAGAGCCCTGTGCCCCATCACATCACTGCTCCCAGAGAGAGGTGGGGATTTCCCTTTGCCCTACTTGCAAGACATCAGAACGAATGGATATCTCTGCGCTGGCCGGAGGAGGGGCAGGGATTCCTACACCCCCTGGAACTTCCACCCACAGGAATAACAGACTGGATCCTCGGACCACTAGAACAACGGCCAAGACCCCAAACACCAAGACAACAGCGCCACCGCAGAGGTGAATCACCAAGGCGACCCATCACACGTAGACACCTCGACCCAGCTGCACCAGAAGAATAACGGCAGAGAGGCACCCCTGACCCGACACGGGAGTCCCTCCCCCCACGAGAGAGACTGTAGCTGGTCCCACATGCTTGCAGACTCTACTGGTACCTGATGCAAGAATTGACCACCAGTACCCAGATAAGTACCATACTAGTCACAACGCACACGCAGAGCCTGGGACTGATTCATGGGGAATAGTGCACCTAATGTGGGACTAACGGTACAATGCTGTATTTAGGGTGGGGGGGATGTCGGGAAGGGGATGGGACACTGAACACGGTCACTGCTCAAACCCGAGCAAACGGACAAGCAAACTGGGATGCACATGGGTGTGAATGTTTTTTCAGGCTGGACAAAAGTGGTAAGTGGTGTCCCTCAGGGTTCTGTTTTGGGACCACTTCTATTTAACATATTTATAAATGATCTTGAAATAGGCATTGAAAGCCATGTATCAGTGTTTGCAGATGACACAAAACTTTGTAAAGTAATAAAATGTGAGCAGGATATTGCTTTGCTGCAGAGAGATTTGGATAGATTGGGGGACTGGGCACTAAAATGGCAGATGAAATTTAACTGCAAAGTTATGCACTTCGTTAAGAATGCACAAGCAACTTACACACTAAATGGTAGTGAATTAGGGATAACCACACACGAGAAGGATTTGGGAATTGTTATAGACAACAAATTAGGCAGCAATATGCAATGTCAATCTGCAGTTGCTAAGGCCAGTAAGATTTTGTCATGTATAAATAGGGGCATAAATTCTCGGGATGAAAATATAATTTTGCCTCTTTATAAATCGCTGGTAAGACCACACCTTGAATATGCTGTGCAATTTTGGGCGCCTGTTCTAAAGAAGGATATCATGGCACTGGAGAGGGTCCAGAGACGAGCTACAAAATTGATAAAAGGAATGGAGCATTTTAGTTATGAAGAAAGGTTAAAAAAATTAAATCTGTTTAGTTTGGAAAAACGGCGCCTGAGAGGGGATATGATAACTTTATACAAATATATTCAGGGCCAGTACAAACCTTTATCTGGAAATCTATTCATAAACAGGGCTATACATAGGACACGAGGTCACACATTTAGGCTGGAAGAAAGGAGATTTCATCTATGGCAAAGAAAAGGTTTTTTTACAGTAAGAACAATAAGGATATGGAATTCTCTGCCTGAAGAGGTGGTTTTGTCAGAGTCCATACAGATGTTTAAACTGAAATTGGATAAATACTTCAAAAACATAACATACAGGGATATAATTTCTAATTAGTGGGGTAATAGCTGCTTGATCCAAGGAGACATCTGACTGCTATTTTGGGGTCAAGAAGGAATTATTTCCTAGTTTGTGGCAAAATTGGAAGCGCTTCAGACCAGGTTTTTTGCCTTCTTTTGGATCAACAGCAACAACATTTGTGAGGAAGGCTGAACTTGATGGACGCAAGTCTCTTTTCAGCTATGTAACTATGTAACTATGTAAATGTTATACGGTTTCCATATGTTACACGTTAGATATAATATATATAATATAATATATATAATTATAGATAGATATAAAACAAGGCCCTCGAAGGACAAACGAGCCACATGCTGGGCCCACTCCTTAGACGACCCGACCACAACTCAAACCTGGACACTAGATATCTGTTAAATGTAACAGCCTAACGAAGTAAGAACAGCCCACAGAGTTTGATAGTAGGGATACCCATAAAGTTAACAATAGGGACGTAGATAGGGCGAGTAACTGTGTGTACAGGACAATGTCTCTGGGAGGGCTGCTGGCCGAAATAAAGAAGTTGGGGATGGGGGGGTGGGTAGGGAGACTGGTAGCTACAGAGCTTGGGATGTGTGTGGGGGGGGATGCCACATGAGGTGGGGGGCCGTCGTGGACAAGGAAATGAGAGGAGACAGGGGGCTAGAAGAAGTACTTAGAATGCCAAAATGACAAAAATATTGCAGGCGGTCTCTTCTCCTCTCCCCCCTCCCACCGCCTGACATCTTCTCCTTGTTCCCCGCTCATGGAGCGGCCCCCAGAAACCAACCAAACGTAGAGGACAAGAGAGACGAGATACCCCAGCCGCATGTACATCACACACACCCACTAGGTCACCACAGAGACCAGAGACCACACGCACAAAAGACCACAAAGACAAGACACCACGGGACCACACCTGGGACAAATGGGGAAAAACAAGGGAGCCTACGGGCAGAGAACTAACAACTCCCATACCAAGACCTCAAGATCAGACGTATACAGTGACTTAGCGTAACAAATATAGCCAAACGTTATTGGCACAGGAGACTCATGGAGGCTGACATATCCAGACCACAATCTAAAATATAACCAAATCTCCACATATTAAGTGGAAAATGAGAACGGTTGGGAGGCCACGACCCCGACCCAACCCTGTGTATACATAGACTACTGGGGGGAACACTGCCCTGCTGCCCTAGTATACACTACGTGGCGGTTTGGCTTTGCCATCCAACCCAGTTACACAGGTAATCTCTAACTACAGAGAACACCAACATAGATAACACCCCCGGAAACTCAACTAGACAATAGAAAATAGGCCCGCAAACGGTAAGACTTCCCTGAAACCCACAAGGGGAAACCTTAGGCCAGCCAACACCAGGGAAGAGCAGGCGCGGGGTGAAGTCGTGGGGGCTCTGGGGCAACCGCTCCCTGCGCCCACTACCCTGTCTCACTACCCAACTCACCTCTTCCCACCATCCCATCCTTCCCCCCTCCCTCCACCCTGCCTTGGCTCCCCCGGCTGCCGCCCACAGAGAATCGGGGGGCTGCTGCCGGGAGACTTTCCCAGAATAACAACCCATCCTCCAACATGACCGTACCGCCCCCTGAAGAATACACAGAACCGAGGGGTTAAACTCTTAAGACCCTAACCACACTCATACAGAATACAACAAACCACACCCACAAGATGACATACTCGGACGCACCCTTCCACATCATTGCACAAAATTGTAGGGGCTTGAACGCACCCGAAAAAAGAGCACAGTTACTACAGGACCTCAACCGACGCCGAGTTTCCATAGACTTATTACAAGAAATAGACTTATTACAAGAAACACACCTCAGAGACATTGATAATCATAGACTACGAAACAAACACTACCAAACCACCTTTCACAGTAATCACCCAACTGCTCAAAAAACGGGAGTCTCGATTCTCCTAAGCACCAACCTACAGTTCACTCACTCCGAAACGATCACGGACCCGGACGGCAGATACCTTTTCGTGAAGGGAACGAAATCCCAGAAATCATACACGTTCGCCTCGGTGTATCCCCCAAACAGGCTAAGTTCCTCTGTAGAACACTCTCAAAACTAGCTACCTTTACAGAGGGCATTCTGATACTTGGAGGAGATTTCAACCTACCCTTAGACCCATTAGCTGACTCCTCTACTGGACACAGCACAATAACACAGGCAGCGATCAGAAGGATTCGCAAGACGCTCCAGGACATAAGATTGGTAGATACATGGCGAACACTCAACCCGGATGGCCAAGACTATACCTACTACTTGCCCTTTCACAGACGCTATTCACACATAGACTACATCTTCATACAACAAGAAGGCCTCACCTCCCTAAAGAAAGCTGAAATCAGGCCCACTCCATGGGCAGATCACAGCGAAACTTCCATACACCTGGACTCCCCACTCTTTAGACCCGCCCGAACGGCATGGAGCATGAACGAATTGCTGCTTCTAGAAGTACTAGTCCAGACGCAACTAACAGAACATCTGAATCAATACTTTGCAGAGAACACCAAGGAAGGAATGTTGAAAATAACACTTTGGGAAGCACACAGAGAACCAGCAGGCAATTGCAGATCTATCAGCCCAAATAATGAACCTCGAAACCCTTCATAAAGATGCACAATATTGGGAACTCCTAACAGCACACAGATAGCTCACGGAGCTCATAGGCCGTAAACACCATAGAGCACTACGCTCTAAAGCCTTCTGCTATATACATGCCAACAAAGGCGGTAAACTGCTGGCTCATATGATCAGAGGCCAACAAGTGAGAGCACAGGTACATGCACTACGGACCTCGAAGGGACACCTCACACAATTGCCGGGGGAAATAGCAGACAAATTCAGCTCATACTATACGAAACTATACAACATACACACAAACCACACAGAAACACACCGAAATGAGATGAACAGGAACGTAGAACAGTATCTACAAGGATTGCAACCCGACGCGCTCACGAGGGAAGAAGCAGCAATACTTGAAGCACCAATTTCTGAAGATGAAGTGCGAACAGCAGTCAAGGCCGCGAAGAATGGCAAAGCACCCAGACCGGACGGCTTCTTGATAGGCCACTAAAAAAAATTGGGTGACATTCTCATAACACGACTAACTGCTGCGCTAAACCAACTACAAGAAGGAGGCAGATTTCACCCAGAAATGATGGCAGCCACCATCACAGTCATACCAAAACCAGGCAAGAACCCAGAAAGCTGCGGCAACTACCGCCCTATCTTACTCCTCAACGCGGATGTCAAACTCTTCTCTAAGATCATAGCAACCAGGCTACAACCCTACATGCCAGAGTGATCCACCCAGATCAGACGGGCTTCATACCCGGAAGAGAAGCTAGGGACTGCACCCTGAGAGCGTTCACCATCCAACACCTGGCTAAAAGTGAGAACAAGTACCTACTTATGTTCTCTATGGATGCAGAAAAGGCGTTCGATCGAGTGAGATGGCAGTTCATGATGGCAACGCTCAACAAGGTGGGACTGGGGAAAGGGATGCTCACGTGGATCGACACACTTTACTGCAATCCAAACGCACGGATCTGAGTCAACGGAGCACTCACAGATGGATTCCCAATAAGCAACGGCACCAGACAAGGCTGCCCACTATCTCCTCTCCTATTTGCCCTAACACTGGAACCGTTTCTGGACAGAATCAGGCGAGCACCCGACATACGTGGATTCCAATATAAAGATCAGGAACACAAAGTAGCAGCATATAGCGGATGATATGATCTTCTTTATAGACGACCCACGGCAAACACTACCTGTACTGATGGAAGAGTTCAAACAATACGGCCGAGCCACGGGGCTCAAGCTAAACCACACAACATGTGAAATTCTACAAGTTTCGGCTCAAACATCCGAATGGGACCTCATCAAAAGAACCTACCCCTTCAGTAGCTGCGACGACCAGATGAGATACCTGGGAATTTGGATACCAAGCAACCCAACAGAAACGTATATACGGAACTACACCCCGCTCCTCAAACAAATACAAAAAGACCTGACAACTTGGAACTACGACTACATCTCCTGGCATAGCGGTAGTAAAGATGAACATCTTGCCTCCTTTACTACTTCAACACCATTTCCTGGCACTTACCACCGGAATTCTTTGCAACATTGAAAAAAGCGGTTAGTAACTATGTCTGGAAGGGGAACTGAGTGAGGCTCAGCCACGACAAAATATGCCTACCCAAAATGTGGGGAGGCCTGGCACTGCCAGACTTCCTCAAATACTACCACGCATCTGTTCTGCAGCGGATAAGGGACTGGCAAACAGCACCTAACCACAAACGATGGGTAACACTGGACAGAGAAAGCACGAACAAAACCCTTCACTCACAGGTATGGCACCAAACCCAGAGGGGAACCCCAAACACCAGCAAAACCTCGCCCATAACACAAACACTGAAAACATGGGCCACAATGAGAAAATAAACATATATATAAGCCCACTGATTCCACTGACAAATAACATTGCCCTAGGTGGAGGCCTACCGACGAGCGCATGGCCAGCAGCAGAGAGGGATGACTATATACCCCTGAATGAGGTGTTAAGCAACACAGGACTAAAGAACCTACGAGAATGGACCGGAACCAAAATCCCCACGCTCACGCACAGGTTCCGCTATGCACAGCTACAACATTTTTACTATAATTTACCAAACAGAACGGCAGTACATAGAGACATCATGTGGTTTGAAAACCTATGCATGAATGAACTAGAAGCGGACGGGAGAGTATCCATATTATACCAACGGATTATAATAGGAGAACGGGTTAGGAACGTAAAAAAACATACATACATAAGATGGAGCTTCTTGAATAAACGTACAATGAGTGTCTGCAAAAATATAAGTACAAAACACAAATAGTGCAATATTGCTATTACAGAAATGGGCTATAAGCAAGCATATATGGTGTCACTCACAAGTCAGGAGTCATAAATCACATATGACTCGAATGGTAAAAGCTTGTGGACAATTTTAGGATGCCAAATCCTTTCCTTTGCTCACAGTTCTGCTGGACACCTGGTTCCTCTGAAAGTGGTGCTGGTCATCCAATACTTCCAATGTAAATATAAGGTACCACAGCCAAGGTTTCATAAATAGTAAACCTTTATTGGTAATCCCTAATACATAAAAACTAAAAAATAATAAAATTGATATAGGGTAAATATAAATAGCAGGAACAAATGTCCAAATAAAATGTCCAAAACGTGTTTCACCCTTGGGCTTCCTCAGTTGGTTGATAATGTCTCTTCTCCTTGCTCGACTTGTTGAAATAGTTTTATATGCTCTGACTTCCGGGTTTCTCATTCCCGGCATAATTTTACTTCCGGGTTTCGGCTATTCCGTGTTGGAACGCAACATGCATTCCATTACCCTCATTGCGTCCTTCCGTTTCCTGTTTCACACAAAATAGTTCTAAGTTGCTTCCGGGTTCAGGCGGTATAGGTCATTGGAACGCAACATGCGTTCCATCTTTTTGTCATTTCCGGTTTCTGTCCTAGCCGGAATACAACCATTCACAGCACATAACAGCAGTGGTGACCAATTTCTAAGTCCCACCCCTATGAAAAAAGCTGAATGGGGTTTCCCATTCTCATTCTCATTACTACTTCTACCATTGAGGCAGCTCGAAAAAGGAAAAAGAAGGGGAATTAATCTTCACATAAAAAAGCTTAACAGTAATACATCAAAGCAAATCTTATAATAGTATCATGATTATAGAAATGCAGCAAAGTAATTGTAAATAAAAAGCACATATTACGGGTTAGGAACGTAGCCTTCAAGAGACAGTAGGAGGACCTCACGGACAGAACATACACAGATGCCCAATGGGAACAAATACTCATACTTCAGCATAATAGCTTGATTAGTTCAAGATATCAAGAAGTCAACTTCAAGCTGATCTCCCACTGCTACCGCACGCCCTCGCTACTGCATAGAATGTTCCCGGGGACAACTGACACCTGTTGGAGGTGCGGAACCCAAACGGGAACCGTGAGACACATCTGGTGGGATTGTGCCAAAATAAAACCATACTGGGATGAGATCCAACAAGAACT